TGAAAACTGCAACTTAAAGTGAAAAAAAGTTTTAGAGGTCAATCTTTCATTTTTGAATTTATCCAATTAAGAGTAACTGAAATGGAATCCTACACTGACAAAGGGTTGGGCTAGATGACCTCCAAGATTTTTTATTTTTTAATTTTTATTATTCATATTTCTATGCCGCCCAAGTGCCAACCCTTACTTTCTATGATTTCGGAGCTTCATGTTGATGAGCTGTGTGCTTTATAGTACTTGCATGGAGTGTGAATGGCCAAGAGGTTTATGAACAACAATGTTTCCCCCAAAATAAGATATTCCCTGATAATAAGCCCAATCAGGCTTTTGAGTGCATGGCAATAAGGCCAAGTGCTTATTTCAGGGTTCAAAAAAATATAAGACGGGGTCTTATTTTCGGGGAAACACGGTATGAATCCATAACATTTGTAATAAATAAATACAACTTCTCCCAGTGTTTCTCAGATAAAATATTTAAAATAACATTTGAATTCCTTTTGCCTATTGGTCTTCCACTTCAACAGGTTTCCCCCTCTCTGTGCTTAATTTCAACAGCTGAATATGCTGGACTCGCACAACCTTAAAAGGGCTTTATTTTTTGACACAGAAAAAACTCACTATCCAAAGTAGCCGGCAAGGCAGACACTTCATTGCCACGTTGGCGATTTGTCAGGGTGCTGGAACGCTTCAGGATCCCCCCGTCTGCATTTTGAGAAAGGAAAGAAAGAGAAAATTGAATCTTTAGCATTCACCACAATTAGTGAGATTCACTTGGCTTGCTAAGTTGTAGCCTTGCTTTAGAAGCCCAGTTGAGTTCCTCCAAGACAAACCCCAAGGCAGGAGTATCCCCAGGGTGTGGACAAAAAAAGTCAAAATAGCTACCACAGAACTATTGAAGCTTTGCCTGTTTGTGTGGCGGCCATGCTATTGTGGTGGCCATCTTGACTTTTTTGACTATAGCCCTGCTCTAAGGCAACAAACAAGTAAGAGAAAGAGAAGGCATTGAATTAATGCCATTTTGGTTAAAAATTGACTTTTTTCCTTCCAACTCTTCTTAGCACAGTACAAGATAAACACACTCCAACCTCAGCTTTTTGCTTTTTTTGAATTTCTTCCCCCTTGTATCTCACACATCCTTTCCCCTGTTCCCTTTTCCTCCCTTAATTTCCTACTTTCTTTTCATCCTTTGTATTTTATATAATAAAAATAAAAATGATTCATAGTGAAGAAAATGTTTTTTCCAGAGCTGTCTTCCACTCTTTTGGACAATTTAAACTGGGCACATTTACTCCATGGGTCGGAAAAGATTCAACAAATGAACTATTCTTTGATCTTTTGGCAGAATACAGAAACTTCCCATCCGGGTGGCATCTGCATCTTTTCTCATTACATTTATGCAAGGCGCTCATGCGCTCTCAAGACTTATAAAATGTATCCTGTTTAATTAAATGAGGTTTATTTTTTCAGTGTGTACAGGATTGCCGTTTAAAGACACAGTATTCCACTGCTCATCATGTGCATCATTCCTAACTTAACTTGAATACAGATAGTCCTCGAGTTACAACCATTCACTTAATGACCATTCGAAGTTACAACAGCACTGAAAAAAAGTGACTTATGACCGTTTTTCACACTTACAACCGTTGCAGCATCCCGTGGTCACCTGATTAAAATTCAGAACGTTTGGCAACTGGCTCCTATTTATGACGGTTGCCATGTCTCGGGGGCATCTGATCCCCTTTGGCAACCTTCTGATGAGCAAAGTCAGTGGGGAAGCCAGATTCGCTTAACAACCATGTACCGTATTTTTCGGAGTATAAGACGCACCTACCTTTTTTGGTGAGGAAAAGAAGAAAAAGAAATCTGCCTCTGCCTCTGAGGAATTTTGCCTCCTTGCAGCAAACAGCAAACAACCTGCTTTACTTTCATTTTCGTTTTCAGCATAGCTTGATTAGCACAAGGGGGAAAAAAAATCTGCTCCAGCAATTTACTTTTTTGCAGCAAGCAGCAAAACAGCTGAGAGCAAATCAGCTGAGAGTCAGGAGGCCGATCCAATCAACTTGTGCTAATTAGGCTGTGCTGAAGCTGAAAGGAGCTGTTTTTTCTTGCTGTTTGCTTGCAAGGAGGTAAACTGCTGGGAGACAGAGGCCAAAGGATGGGGGCCAGTGGGTGGGCGGGACTACATTCTGTGTATAAGATGCCCCTAAATTTTCACCCCCTTTTAGGGGGGAAAAAGGTGCGTCTCATTCTCCGAAAAATACGGTAACTAACTTAGCAACTGCAGTGATTCACTTAACAACTGTAAAATGGGGCAAAATTCATTTAACTCTCTTGTTTAGCCCCAGAAATTTGGGGCTCAATTGCGGTCGTTAAGTCAAGGACTACCTGGATCGTAAGACTGAGAAACTTCCATTTTTTTATTCTGGAAAAAAAAGCCGAGATTTTAACAAGCTGAATTCTGCTTCAGTTATCCTCTCACAGCTCATCTTCCCCTCAGAACTCCCTCCATTCGGACTTGAGCTTTGCGAACGTACCATTTAAATCATCCCCGGCTTCTGAATACGGAAACAACTGCAGATTGATTATCGTGTCGTCGTTGTCGTCGTCATCGTTTCTGTCGCTAGCTGAACCTTCAGGATCCCTCTGGCCGGTGGCTTGGATCATGTTAGAATCGCAGGGTTGTTATTGTGTCCGCAGGTGTGTTGACACGCTGTGAAAGTGATAACACTGAATGAGATTGGTTGGCTTGGAAACTTGGAGGGTTGGCAGCATGCTGGGTAGGATAGAACTGCAAGTAGTTAATGCAGTGTTTCTCAACCTTGGTTACTTTAAGAGGGGTGTACTTCAACTCCCAGAATTCCCCAGCCAGCTTTGCTGGCTGGGGAATTCTGGGAGTTGAAGTCCACCCCTCTTAAAGAGGCCATGGTTGAGAAACACTGAGCTAATGGATGAATACATAACATAGAGACCAGCTACCGATTAGCAATGGCCAAAGAGGAAGCAGTGAAGCAATTGCAAGCAGGAGCAACTTGGTTTGAAGACGCCATTCTTAACTCACCTTTCTTTACCAGAGACTTCTTGAACCCGGTTTAGAAGAATGGATAGGATACCGAATGTTCAAAGCAATCCCAGCTTCGACAGGAAGTAATGTTAAGAAACAGCCCTTATGCCACTCGTTCCTCTGCTGCCCTCCGATGCAAAGTGAAAATAACTTTCTCTTCCCACAATGCATCTGATTCTGAAGCTCTGGTTGTTATTATTATTATTATTTTAAAAAATTAAAAACCACCCGGCTGGTGGGCCCTTTAAGGGATTCCCGGGAGTTTACGGAATTTTATGAATGAAACCGACGGAATTTGCTCCACCCACCCGAACACTCCGCCTATTATGTGTCAGGAGGGGGGCGGAGCTGCTCGCCCCCCCCGCCCCACGAATGTTTAGCCTTAAAGGGACCGCTCTTCTGTTGGTTTCTAAACCCAAAGTAAAGAGCTCTCGACTCTCACCAAGCAAAAATTAATTCTTCCCTGCAATTTCGGGAATTCCCGATATTCGCGTGTAAGATTTCAGATTGCGAGGCAGCTATTAAAAATGAATGTAAGATATCCGGGTCTGGCTTGATTTTCATGGTTATGAATAGCTAAGGAAAGTAAAAATGATCCCAAAACAATGATGGACAAAGTAAGATATTGCATAGCTCCTCTCCTCCTTCCTTTCTTTTCTATGCCTTTTCCCCCTTTCCTTCCTTCCTTCCTTCCTTCCTTCCTTCCTTCCTCCCTCCCTCCCTCCCTCCCTCCCTCCTTCTTTTCTTTTCTTCTTTTCTTTTCTTTTCTCTTCTCTTCTTTTGGCTTAGAAAATTCATTTAAAACTAACCCCCTAAAACCACGGGACACGTTTCAATCATTTTTTTTAAATTGTTTAAACAGATTAACAGACTAACAGAGTTGGAAAAGACCTTATAGGTCAAATTAACACATTTGAAATAAAAGGGATCGTACTGGCCCATGTTTTTCTTTCAAAGCCTATTCCTTGCCTTGCAAAGCAGTTCAATTACATTCTATAAGATTACACTCACAAAACATGTTCAATTTCGCTCCTGCTTTTAATCCATTTTCTGGGTGTGGATAATCCAATGTCAAAGTAACCAAACAAGTGGGGTTTCTAGGCAATCCTAAAACAGAATGAAGCCTAAACAAGCCTTCAATTTTCCATGCTCAACAGCAAACACAGACTAAATAGTCCCCCCACTTTTTTTTTGGCCAGACAAAACAACCAATTCTAGACACTAAAACAATGTTTCTCAACCATAGCAACTTTAAAAATGCTTTCAACTGGAAGAATTCCTCAGTATGATTTAAGAAGTATAATAAATAAAACAATACTAAAACCAATGCAGCATAAAAATAATAAATGCAAAAACTGAAAACACAGGAAGAAACCAAACATTAAAAAAAATTAAAATCTTTAGAAGAACATTCCATGGTTCCTGGAAGAAGATCCCTCTGCATTCAGAGGATTGTCTATTTTTCTGTTGTATGCCTAATTGAGATAAAAAAAATTTTTGCACTGGGCTTTTGTGCTTGGTGTTGTGAATTACACAAACGCAACACACCATTCCACTGACCGCAGCGGGATTTATTTCCAGGATCCATTCATTGACCGTGTTAGAAAGCCTCACTGTACACAACAGAGGGGGAAAAAAGAGTATTCATTAAGTACTTAGGGATTGGTGACATCCATTCATTTGGAAAGGGAAACGCTCTCTTATAATAAATAATAAATAAATAATAAATAAATAAGCCTTGTCCTCTTTTTAGGCCCGAAACTCGGCACGGGAAATCCGGCCATCAAATAAATCAATAAATCCTGATGGATGAAAGAAACGGTACATTTTCCGCACCGTTTTGATTTAAAAACCAAACCAGTAAGAACCTTTCTCCTCAGGCGGTGTTTCCACACAGGTACGTTTCTGACGATGCACCCAGCTTTCCGGAAGTTGCTGCTCGGCTGATGTTCCGCCCCGGCTCTGCGGTCCGCTTTTTCTCACGCCGGGTCGGGCTCGGTTCGTTATCATGGAGGAGGCTGAAATGCAGCTGAAAGTGAAAAAGGGTAACAATGACGGCTACTTCCGGGTTATGTTACACTAATATAAGTCCGGGGAAGAATAGAGAAAGGGATGCTTATTCTTTCCCTGTCCCTCTGGGTTGAGATTTGGGTATTAATAGAGCAAAAGTAAAACTGGTTACGGCTCTAGAGTTGGCCTGCGGGATCCATGCCTGGATAATTTCTGCCTATCGGGTGGAATTCCAACCATTTCTATTTTAATAGAACCAGGCATTTTCTCACCAAGCTAGAAATGGGACAGAGAAGTTATGTTACATTGAAGGAGAGATTTCATTTTTATTGCTCTGGTCTGGCTTTGAGACCAACCTGGACTGGTCTCAAACCAGTTAACCACAGTTGCAGCTGGTTAATGCAAGGATAGGAGACCACTAAGTAATTCCAGAAAAGTAGGCTGACCTGAGAATGGAGAATGACAAGGGCGGCAGCTGGTTAATGCATGGATGGGAGACCACTAAGTAATTCCAGAAAAGTAGGCTGACCTGAGAGTGGAGAATGGCAATGGCAAGCTAACCGTTGTGTTGTTGCCAAAGTTGTTGTGGTCAAGAAGGAAATAAACAAACTAGAGCTAAAGGAGAAATTTCGTAACGGCGAAAGCAGACAACCAATGGAATAACTTCAGAATTTGGGGGTGCTCCATCACTGGAGGCTTTCAAAATGAGACTGGACAACCATTTGTCTGAAATGGTATAGGCCAGGGTCACCTGCTTGAGCAGGAGGTTGGACTAGGAGACCTCCAAGGTCCCTTCCTACTCTATTATTCTGTGTTCTAAGTTCTCAGCTGTTCCTCACCTGTTATGGGAAAAATAGGAGGCAGGAGCATTTGGTATGTTTGCTGCCTTGAGTTATTTATTTTAAAAAAGCTGATAAAAATATATTAACTATGTTTGCCACTTTGAGTTATATATAAAAATCAGGATTAAAAATGTAATAATAATAGTTTACATGCTGCAACGATACCTCTAAGACTATCAAACATCAACATCTGACTATCCCAGGCCCTTGGGAAAGACTCACCAGGGTGACAAAAATTCCAAATTCAGTCTGAACATCTGGCTGACTGTGGGACAAACCAAAACAACTGAAGTATGAAAGATTCACATTCACCGTCACCCTCCTGAATTCTTATTCTGTTTTTCAATTTCATTTCTCTTCTTTTGCACCAGTGTTCATCTATCATTCTGAAGCAATTGCCTTTTTTAGATTGCCATCTCTATCTTAACTTTTTTCCTGGTTCTGGTTAGTTTTTATACTTTGGAATTTTCTCCCAAGGCTAAATATCCCTTTCTTGTATCGGTGGCCTCAAGTATTATCTGAAGCCTTATTTTTTCTCCTGGTGTGGAAGCAAAGCCGTGAGAAAAAAAAATATGCTTTCTTTTCTTCTTATAGTGACAGACAAGTTTACAGAGAGCATGTATGTCCTGGCCAATGAACCTTCTGTCGCATTGTATCGGCTTCAAGAACACGTCAGGCGCTCTCTCCCAGAATTGGCTGAACACAAAGTAAGCTGCGATCTGAACTGTAAATGAGAATGGATGTAGTGTCATTCCTAGAAATAGTCTATAGTCTAATAAACCCATTCTGTGACAGACAGGACTTAGGGGCTCAAATGTTTAACTGTTCCTCCATACTTAGTAATTCCTTGCAGGCAGAAAAGTAGTATATTGGGGAAAGGGGAATTGGATTTTTGCCATGATATGTTAGTTTTCAGCGTGCAAAGTATCAGACCAATGTAGAGGCAGCTATGAGGAGTACAGTATGTTTATACATATCTGCTAATCGAAGTCTCCTGTAAGGTCTTGCCTCAGCTATCCCCTCAAGAAAGCAAAACTCTTGAAACAGGTAGATTTCAAAATTAACTTTTATTGGAAGATAGTGATAGCAAGGAGAATAGGCAGGATCTAAAGTTACAGGGGGTGGGGGGGGGAAACAAAATGTTAGGTTAAAAGTTGTTTGTCAAAACCCCACCCCATTGCTCAGTCCCACGTGAGCCAATCCCAAGGTGTGAAGTTGTTATGAGAACTTCAAGTTGTGAGAAATTTGAGCTGAGAAGGTGATAAGAAGCTGGGCTCTCCTCTCTTCGGAGCTGAGACAAAACAGATGTCCCCAGGCTCATCCTCCCCCCACCTCCCATTCCCAGAAAGATACATCAAAGTGAATAAGGACCAAAGCAAATGACAGATCATAAAAATACCAAGGCTCCCCCATCCCGCCAGAATGGCAGCGTCCCAATAGGGATCTATAGGGACCTGACATCTCCAGAGCATTATCTGTAGTGGAGAAGTATTGGGCTTTAAGGCCTGAGGATATATATACTGTATCTGGCCTTTTATCAGTTTGGGTTTGTTACATTGCTAAGAAGAATGTGGTAAAATGCCCCTATGAGAGAGGGCACTACCAGCTTCTTTGAAAGAGTCAGTAATTAGGCTACTCTCGAAAAATAAATTAAACCAGATTAAGAAGCAACAGGTCGTCCTTTCAAACCCTATTTGTTAAGTGGTTATGGAATACGTCAGAATTGTTTGGGGTGCAACCAGTTTTCTATATTGACTCCATCCAGTTTCAAGGCCTTCTTTGGGAGAAACTCTGAAAATACTCACCTCATTTGACTGACCTCAGGATGGGAGGCTGAGTCAGCCTTGAGCCGGTCAGGATCGAACTCCTGGCAGCAAGCAGTGAGTTAGCTTGCAATACTGCATTCTAACCACTGAGCCACCAGAGCTCGTGCTTCTCTCTACCTGGCAAAAATTTAGCTGTCCTTTCTTTGCAGGCTGACATGCAGAGCTGGGAAGAACAGAGTCAAGGAGCCATTTACACCGTAGAATATGCCTGCAGGTGACTGCCCTTAAAAACTCATTTTTAACCATTGTAACCACTGCGCCCCCACGAGAAATACTCTTCTCTCTGTCCCTATTCCTGGATTTCTGAGGCTGGGACATTCTTGATCCCCTTTTCCCCCCAACTCTTGTAATTTTAACCAGGCGCTTTCCCTCTTCTCTAGTGCCATCAAGAATATGAAGGACAGTAGCATGTATTTCAAGAACATCGAAGGGCTCCTGAGACATGCCATTGCCGTAAAAGATCGGTTGAATTCTGCACGGAGGTAGCTCTAGAGATCCAGATCTGGGAAAACATCACGGACGTCCTCTGTTATTTATGGAGAGAAGCTTCAAATGCCAAGGGGAAGCCAACTCTACATACCAACGCAATCAAGACACATTTATATGAACCAGTCTCCAGGTTTAATCATTTTTTTAACATCAGTAATTACTGTTAATTAAAACATATGTTAGCAATACTTAGTTTCTAAGGAAGAAACACTGCAGGCAAGATCTTGTTGTGTCATGTGCTTGTACTAGAACTGGGGTGAGACAGGATTGGCTTGGGTGGAGGAAGTGGGCGGGGAGAGAATACATGGAATCCCAGTATATCAAGCCAAACTGTTGGTCTATGTAGCTCATGATGGATGGCAAGTTGATCATACCTCTCCTGAGCCTCAGATGTACCAGCTCTATTTGGAAAATCTCAGATTTTGAACCCAGGACCTCTTCTACTGGCAAAACAAGTGTTGTCCCTTCTTACTGGCTGCCCATTCTTCTCCCAGTTCTACCTGCTCCATCTTCTCCTCTCCTTCCCTTTTCAAGATATCCCAAGTGCTTTTCCTTCTGTTCTCACAGTCAAGGTAGATTTTGCCATCTCCTGCAGGCAATCTTTAGATTTAAGATGACCCCCCTACCTACCCCGCCCTACACAAGGAAGGTTAAGAGAGATAAACCCTTGAATGCTTCCACTGTTTTATAACCAGGCTATCTAATTCAACCCTCCCAGTTCAAGCTCAATTATTTAGAAGGCTTAAATTTCCTGACAGATAAATACATATAATAGATTAACTGGACGCCCAAGCTTTGCTACGAAACTGTGATCGAGCATGATAAATTGACACTTAAAGCCTGAAACTTAATGTAGAATGTGTAACTCCGTAGCCTCAGAGCATGTTAAATATAAGGCAACTGGCAGTTGGAACAGAGTTCTTTTCAGGTGGGGAGGGGGAGTAGAATGTCTAGCTCCTTAGCATCAGAGCGTGTGAATATAATACTGTATATGAAATACTAATGAACTGATGGTCATTTTGAAAAATCCTTTCTTAGTGAGCACCTAGAAGCCAAGAGGAACATACATGCCAAATTTCAAGTTTGTAGGCTTTACAGTTCTGGAGATTTTGTGATGAGTGAGTGGTATTTGGCTTTTATATATATATATATAGAGAGAGAGAGAGAGATTTCAGAACGGTAAAGATGTTAACTAGGAATGCAGCTAGTCACTTGTGCTGCAGGGACCAACAACATCCCAAGTTTGATTTTGATCCTTAGCATGCTCAAAGACGTTCTGTTTTACATACAACTCTTCCCTCGCTGAATCCAATGGATTACTGGTTCTGTATGAAGGGAGAGAGTTGGCGAGACGTCATATGTGTCTCTGGTCAGAGCCCAGCTACCCAAGGACTGCATCAATGCCTTCATCCTGCCCTCCATCAACTTTTCATGGTCTCCAGAGCCCCCTCCAACCTCAAGAGATGAAAATCAGAGATCCCTTTTGAAGTGGAGATCACAACAAAGCAAAAATGTAGGAATCCCTGAATGTAATTAAAAGGAAAAATATCCTCCCCCAAATCTAAGGGGGGAACGTCCAAAATACTCATGACAACTCCCTACCCACCCTTCAGCTCTTACCCTGAATTTGGAATTATGGGATCATGTATTTTTTCAGCAACAGCACGAGGAATTTGAGCTAAGTTTCATATTTAGTCATTATTTAATACCGTGTACTCGCTGGGGGTTTTTTAGGGTTAGGGAAAGTTTTTCAAAATATTCTGCTGATTATTTTACCCTCAGGAATTTTGCAGGGTAAGTCCAGGCAGTGCTTTTCAGCCATTATTAAGAGGCTGGAGAGATGTGCATTTTCTCTCTTCTTGTACTGAAAGTGGAAAATTCTGTTTGAAATTCTGCGCGTCCTTTGTGTATGCCGGCCCGTGTTTCTCCTTGGACATGCCTACATTCTATTATTATTTTTTTGCTTATGTGAATGTATGGAAATGGTTCTGACTAAATCAGAGGTCTCCAACCTTGGCAACTTTTAAGACTTGTGGACTTCAACTTTGCTGGCTGAGGAATTCTGGGAGTTGAAGTCCACAAGTCTTAAACATTGCCAAGGTTGGAGACCCCTGGACTAAATCACTAAAGATGTGTAATTCATGACTTGAGGTGAGGTTTGTGTTACAGACATTGGCTCTCCTGAATCCTAATCGCTACAGCTTTCGGTACGACACAGGAAAGGATTCACAAAATGATTAGATGTTGGAGTACCATCTTCACTGTAATCACAAAGTTTATCTAGCCCAGTGTTTCTCAACCTTGGTAGCTTGAAGATGGGTGGACTTCAACTCCCAGAATCCCCCAGCCAGCAGCGCTGATCTAGCCTTCAATTCAGTTAGAGTCCTTCAAATTCAAAGCTACAACGGACTCCCCGAAACTTCTTGTAACCTGGTTTTGAAATTAGGACACTTATAAACCCCTGTGGTGATGTGATTGTATTTTGTACACTTAGCAACCAGTTCACCTTTTGCAGCAACCCATGTTCACATGATCATAATTTGTTATTTTACAAATTTTGCTGCTTTCCAGGACTTTCAGTTTCTGACAAAAAAAAAAGAAATCCCTTGGGTTAAAATGGATTTGCTTAACAGCACTACAAAAACGTTGAGCCATGTAATGCCTCAATTTACAACCGTAATCCTGGGCTCAATTACAGTCATAAATCGAGGACTACCTATACCAGCAGTCTCCAACCTTTCCAGCTCGATGCACCAGCAGAGGCAGCAGCAGGGTGGGGGAGAGGACATGGTTTTGCGGTTCCCGCTTTCACAAATGCAGCTTCATGCATGCACGCTCAACCACCAATTCAGCACTTCTGAGTGGGTTACGGCCCGGCACTGTTGGGGACCCCTGACCTATATAACCAACCTTCCTTTACTAGTGTAAGTCCAGACAAATTGCCTCTTTATGGTAGCACCTACGAACAATTTAAATGTAGCATAGTATCTAATAATGGATGGCATCTAATATTAGTAGAACAGAGTTGTATTGGAGATAACAGGATCATTAAAGGAAGCCTCCCTATTCAGTAGCAGTCTGTCTTGATGCTGGTTTACAGCATGCATTAAAATATGGGATTGGTTAGTAGAATATCCTTTCTTACACTTAACCAGCCCTTAAGATTCATCCCTGCTGCATCAGGGTTTAAAATTTTAATTAATTAATTTAATTAATTAATTAAATTTAATTTTAATTTTAATTCTTAATTCTTTCCCTTTGGGCCTTTGAATGTGGACGATCTATGTAGACCTCCTTAAGAGACTCAAACTATCTGCAATATGTGAATTTTTCTAACTGCTGAGAATAAGGGAGATGACTCTGATAGAAATATGCAAGGATTTTTTTTTGTGACATTACTGAAAATAGTTGAAGATAGTCATGATTAACTTGGAAGGCTAGATGTTGTTAAATATCCTATTTTGATTGAAATTATGTTGTGGCTGGGATTGCTCCAGAAAATAGGTGTCTGCACATTTTGTTATGGACTTTATGATAAAGAAACAATTAAAAAGTTCTTTTAGGGAAAAAAAAAGAAATATGCAAGGATCATTACCTAGGTAAAGCAGTAAAAAAATGTTCTTTAAGTCCTAGGAAAAATGCTTTCCAGATCCAAGGAGGGGAAATATAGGCAATACTTGACATACCACCCCAATGGAGCTCAAAATGTTTGTTGCTAAGTGAGACGCTTGTTACGTGAGTTTTGACCCATTTTATGACCTTTCTTACCCCGGTTATTAAGTGAATCCCTGCAGCTGTTAAGTGATTCTGGCTTCCCCCGTTGACTTTGCTTGTCAGAAGGTCACAGAAGTCGTCACGTGACCCCCGGGACACTGCAACCATCATAAATACGAGTCCATTGCCAAGCATCTGAATTTGGATCACGTGTTCATGGGGATGCTGCAACGGTTGCAAGTGTGAAAAGCGGTCATATAAGCAGAGGTGGGATTCAGCTGGTTCTGTCCGGTTCGGGCGAACCGGTAGTGGTGACTGCAGGAGGCTCCGCCCCCCCGCCTGGATGTAATGCGCAAGCAAAGAGCGTGCACCCAAGGCTGTGTGCATGCGCAAAGGAGCGCTCGTGCTCACATTTGCGAACCGGTAGGGAAGGTAAGTGAATCCCACCTCTGCATATAACTCACTTTTTCCGGTGCCGTTGTCACTTTGAAAGGTCACTAAATGAACTGTTGCAAGTCGAGGACTACCTGTACAGCAAAATCAGGCTTTGGAAGATTGTGTTATCGTAGCCTGCCTCAATAAAATATAGTTCTGGTCTTGTGGAGCTGATTTTCTGGCCTGCTCTACCCTAATGGGGCTGAGCCTAATCTCCTTTTAAAGGAATCTAAATATGGTTTTTCCCCACTTCTTACGGGTGAATGAGAAAGCGTGGGAAACAATGAAGCAATAGTTAAGTGTTCCTTCCAAGCAAGGATCATCTGGAGGTTGAAAGAGATCTCTGTGGGGATCAGGATCAACCCGCTTTCTGAGATTTCACACCAAGGTCGAATCTTTGCCTGATCTCGCCGGTTTGCGTGACAGGATTTTCCTCATTTCCTGCCTCACCCCGTGGCTCAGCAGAAGGCCGGACTCTGCCGAAAGTGTCCGGTGCATTCTGGGGACGCTACAGCTCTCCTTCTCCAGGGTCGGTGCAACGCTGTCCACGGAGGTGACATTGGTGCTGCTCGCTGGGGTGGTCTGGTGGGACTTCTGTTCCACGTAGGACAGGTATGAAACCTCCGGGTGGATTTCCAGACGTGACTGTGAGGAGGCCACCTTTGGACCAGCGCTAGGTGGAACGACGGCTGGTGTTTCGACGCTCTGGGCCGAGTCGTTCTCGTAAAGATTGTGTGACAATTCCCCTGGGCTATGCCTGGAAGCCCGGACGAGCGCGTGGATCACCGTAATAATCAAGACGACGATCCCAGAGGAGAAGATACAAGCACAGGTAATTCCTGTTTCCCTCTCAAATGCCATTGTCACGTAGATCGAGAGGGCTGGAGGGAAGATGAAATCGTTAACATCCGCCAAAGCTTAAAACAGTTTACAAAGGAATTGGGTATTAACCAAGTTTGTAACTCGCGCGTTCATATAAAGATGTTAAGAACTGGATTCCCTCAACACACTGACTCGCAATTGTCCCCTCCATTAGCATGCTGAAAAAGCAGGGGTAAAATCCAGCAGGTTCTGACAGGTTCTGGAGAACCGGTAGTGGAAATTTTGAGTAGTTCAGAGAACCGGCAAATATCACCTCTGGCTGCTCCCAGAGTGGGGTGGGAATGGAGCTTTTGCAATATCCTTCCCCTGGAGTGGGGTGGGAATGGAGATTTTGCAGTACCCTTCCCTTGCCACGCCCACCAAGCCACGCCCACAGAACCGGTAGTAAAAAAAATTGAATTTCACCACTGTGAAAAAGGCTTGGCCTATACCAGTGATGGCTAACCTTTTTGCCATCGCGTGCCAAAAGCTGGGGGAGTGCAGGATAGTTGCATGCGCACATGCCCACACCCATAATTCTATGTGCCCTGCCCCCCGCGCATGCTCGTGTGACCCCCCGCCCTGCTCCCCCCGCTTTTGGCATGTGATTGCACTGTGGGCACGGTAGGCCTGTTTTTTGCCCTGCCCAGGCTCCAGAGGCTTTCTAGGAGCCTGGGGAGGGCGAAAACAGCCTTCCCCACCCCACCGGAGGCCCTCTGGAGGCCGGAAACAGCCCGTTTGCTGACTTCCGGTGGGCCCAGAAGGCCCCAAAATCAGCTGGCCAGCGTGCACATGCACGCTGGAGCTGAGCTAGGGCAACGCTCGCATGCCCATCAATATGGCTCCGCGTGCCACCTGTGGCATGCGTGCCATAGGTTCGGAATCATGGGCCTATGCAGTAGTTCTCTACTTACAACAATTGATTTAGTGACCGTTCACAAAATTACAATAGCACTGAAAAAAGTGACTTATATGACCGTTTTTCACGCTTATGACCATTGCAGCATCCCCATGGTCACGTGATCAAAATTCGGCTGCTAGGCAACTGGTTTATATTTATGACGGTTGCAGTGTTTCTGGGGTTATGTGATCAGCTTTTGTGACCTTCTGAGAAGCAAAGTTAATGGCAAAGCCAGATTCACTTAACAAACCATGTTACTAATTTAACAACTGCCGTAATTAATACTTAACAGCTGTGGCAAGAAAGGGCGTAGAATGGGGCAAAGCTCATTTAACAAATGTTTCACTTAGCAACATGAATTTTGGGCTGAATTGTGGTCGTATGTCGAGGATTACCTGTAGGCTTTATTGCAATTTCTTTATTTTAACTCTCTGTGCAGTTTATAATAAAACACTCTAAAAAATACGATTCGAATGAAAACAGAGACCCGTGATGGCAAACCTATGGCACGCGTGCCCAAAGTGGCACGTGGAGCCATGTTGCCTAGCATGCATGGCAGCACCCATTCCTCTTTCGGGTTTCTGGCACGCATACACGCACGACAATCAGCTGACCTTTTTCCATGTGGCAGTGCCGGAAACTAGGAGAGCTTCCGTTTTCCTGAGTGATCATGTGCGACGGCCAGCTGATTGTCGCATGCGCATCCACGCCAGAAACCCGGAAGAGTAGCTGGCTGAAGCCGGAAGTTCAGTAGCTGAAACCGGAAGCTCATTTTCGGGCGCACTCATGCGCCCTGGGCAGCTCCTCTCCACTCGGTGCCGAAACAGTTCGTCATCACTAACACAGACCATAGATAAATGCAAAATAAAATAGATTGGATGCTTTGGTATCTTCTCTCCATACCATTCCTTTGTGTCCAATTTGTTTTTAAAGGATGGTTCTGAGAAGTTATATGGATGGGAAATTTTATTTCCTTCTCAAACATAAGTTTCAAATCGCTTTTGGAACATTTCTTCTAGGAAAAGGACAAGCAAGGGAAGCCAGAAAGGGAAGGGAGAAATGACTCACCTGCTAGGTAGGCTAAAACAGCGCAGCAAAATGCACCAACAGCTACATGTCTCACTTTTCGACTCTCCAGCAGGAACCAGTCGCCTCTGTGACATAAGAGCAATATACTTTTATTATTTTTTGTCTGCAAAGTAGACAGATCCCTGCTCCAAACATCCTCACATGTAAACCTGCTGTAATGTTGATGAACTTACATTTTGCTCTAAAACACAGATAGTCCTCAACATATCAACTTCCATTAGGGACCGTTCAACGTTAACCCCAGCACTGAAAAAAGTGACTTACAACCGTTTTTCACCCTTAACAATGGGAAACCCATGGTCCTGTGATCAAAATTTCAGCCCTTGGCAACCAGCCTGTATTTACGATGGTTGCAGCATCCAAGGGTCATGTGATCGCTATTTATGACCTTCCCAGCTCGCTTTTTGACAAGCAAAGTCGGACTCAGATTTGCTTAACAACCATGCGATTCACATAACAACCATGATTTGGCTAAGGACCACAGCAAAAAAAATCTTGTAAAATTGGGTGCAACTCACTCAACCACCACCTCGCTTAGCAACAGACGTTCCGATCCCAATTGTGGTCATAAATCAAGGACTCCTTGTACTGCAGATTTTATTATTTATTTATTTATTTATTTATTTATTTACTTACTTACTTACTTACTTACTTACTTACTTACTTACTTACTTACTTTACTTTACTTTACTTACTTACTTACTTACTTACTTACTTACTTACTTACTTATATGCCGCCCTTCTCCGGAGACTCAGGGCGGCTTACAATGCGTTAAGCAATAGCCTTCATACTTGTGTATATTTATACAAAGTCAGCTTACTTGATTTGATTGTCATCAGCAAATTGTGAACAGTGCAAAAAGCAATATGTTGAAGCTGCCAGAGATTTGAGGAACGGAGCCATCAACTCTGTCCATGGGTGAAATAACTTCTCTGTTTCGGGAAGGATGGGGGGGTCAGCTCAAACCCAAAAACAGATTGCTTTTTATTAATGTCTGACCCATTTCTTTTAATGAAACAGCTCTTCTAAACTCTTACTTTCAGCCAGAACTGCTGTTTTATTGGGAGTAGTAGCAGTTCTCTTCAACATGCAGGAACTCAAGCAGTTACTGGGGAGCAAGAATGTGGAGCTTTGGTGGGAAAGGAGCAGTTGGTTACCAGAGCTGAAACTTCATCTTCACAGGGGGCCTAAATCCAAAAGATGTATTGAGTCTTGTTTTGTCAATTGCAGGAGGAATTCCACCCCATTCCCCTCCTTGGCAGGCATAGAAGGAAAGGGAAGAGGGAGAGGAAAAGAAAAGGAAGGAAAAAATGGGAAGGAAGGAAAGGGAAAGGGAAGGTAAGAGCGAAAGGGAAAATGGGAAGGGAAGAGGGAAAGGAAAAAAAGGAAGGAAAGAACAGGACGGAGAAGGGAAAGGAAAGGGGAAAGGGAAAATGGAAAGGAAGGAAAGGAAAAGGAGAAGAGGAAAGGGAAAATGAGAAGGAGGGAGAGGGGAAGGAAAGGAATTTAACGTGGATTATAGGACAGAGAGGGAAGGGAAGGGAAGGGAGATGAGATGTGAGGTGGAACCCAGAAAGAACATTTGAAGTGCCAATTCAAAATCACCACAGCAACTTAGGAAAAATGGAGGAGCCGAGATGAAAGCATAATGAAGAGAGTGCATGCCAGTGGGCCGGATTCCAAAACGGCTCATTAAAATGGCATTTCACTTTATATAAAGGCTGGCACATGCACGTCGTTGGTGTGTCTTGCACTTTGCACAATTAACATGATCAATTCCTGGAAGCCGATGCGAGCCTGGAGCAAAACTCCAGAATGGGGGAGACTTATACAAATATATATATATATATATATTTCCCTATGTTTCCGTTGCAGTTTTAATACATTTTATCGACCTTGGGAGTATCTAAATATTAGCTACAAGCAACTAGTCACTAGCCAAACTCGGATTGTAGCTCCCGCCTCGCATACGCACCTCTCGCTGCCCAGCGCGCCCCCCGAGGCCGCGCATCGCTCGGCGCCGCAGTAGCCGTGCAGGAGGCTCAGGAGGAGGCAGCTCAGGCTGAGCACCAAGCCGAGCGAGGCCAGGCCGGCCGAGATCGGGCGCAGGAGATAGCGGAGCCCCTGGGCCAGGTCGCGATCGCTGCCGGCGCCTCCTTGGATCTGGAAAAGCAGCATCGAAGCCAGCACGGCCACCAAGCCCGAAGCGGTGCCCAAGAGCATCAGAGCGCCCAAGGCGCGGTGCCCGTATTGGGAGAGCATGAAGCCTCGGGACGGGTCTCAGGGCCGGGAGGGGAACGAAGGGACCGCGGCCGAAAAGCCCGGCTAAAACTTTTCCCCAAAGTTGCCTCCGCGCTTTTGGAGAGGGAAAGAGGGCGCGGCCGAAGTGAGCGCTGGATCCTATCGCTGACTTCATCCTCCGCCGCTATCAACCCGGTTTAGCCAAACTCGGTCGCCGCGCTTGAAATGCAGCGCGATCGTGGCTTGAGTCGCTGAGCGCTTCGAGCGCCCCGAGATGATGATGATGATGATGATGATTATTATTATTATTATTATCTATTATTATTTATTATTATTTATTATTATTTATTATTATTTATTATTATATTTCTATACCGCCTTTCTCCCGTAGGACTCAAGGCGGTGTACAGTCAAGAAAAATATAGACACATTAGAAATGTGTAATAATATGTATTAGAAATATTTTAATGTAATGAGGTAAAGAGAAAAATTATACAGGGGAGGGAGGGGTTCAAGTTTACATATAAGTGTTATATTATGGGGTTTTTTTTTGTTGTGTTTTCTTTTTACCAGTTATGAGTATATTATAGGGAAGTCTGGGGGGAGGGGAGGGTTAGGGAGGGTTAGGGAGGATGGGAAGTTGGGGGGGGAGGTGGGGGGGGGAAAAGGGGTGAAAATGTAATTGTAAAACTTTTGCAATAAAAAAAAAGAAAAATATAGACACACAAACATCATAAAATTGCTAATTAAAATTATTACTTAGTTTGGTCAATTAAATAAAACCCAGAATTAGATAACATTTAAAAAATTCATTCACATGTTCATATGCGACGATGATGCGCTCAGCAGCCCTCGGAGCTGCTGTTCCCAGTGAAGCTCTGCTCAGCTTTAATTAAGTTTTTTTTTTTAAAATAATTTTTATTAATATATTCTGTGCACCAATACACAAATGAAATATACAATCCTGCCACCATGGTGTAATGTGAGTACATTGTCCATAAATATAAAGTCATTCCTTTATACATACATACTTGTCATCATATATATACATCATCATATATCTATTCTATCCCACCTTTTCTGGACCGAATCGTACCATAATTTCCAATTGTTATAAAATTCTGAATCTTTTTTACCATTGATCAATCTAGTTAATCGATCTGATTCCACACACTCATTAATTTTATATATTATTTTCAAATGCATTGGTAAATAATTGATTTTTCCACTCCTTTAATTAAGCTTTAGTTAAGTTTTTGATGCCCGGAAAAGATGGATTTATTCATCTAGTCCTTTAATGCTAGCAGTGTAAGGAAGCTTCTAATTGGGGCTTATAGCAATAGCAATAGACTTCTATATTTATTATTTATTTATTTATTTATTTATTTATTTATTTATTTATTTATTTATTTATTTATTACTTCGATTTATATGCCGCCCTTTTTGGCCCCCCCGAGCGGTGTTCTATTTTATACAAAGTCAGCTTATTGCCCCCACAATCCGGGTCCTCATTTTACCTACCTCGGAAGGATGGAAGGCTGAGTCAACCTTGAGCCTGGTGAGAATTGAACTCGCAGTAATTGCAGGCAGCTGGCAGCTAAATACTACTTTAACAGTAGTTTAGTTCACTGCACCACCAGGCTCTTCTATACCGCTTTACAGTCCTCTCTAAGGGATTTACAGAGTCAGCCTCTTGCCCACAACAATCTGGGTCCTCATTTTACCCACTTCAGAAGCAGGGGTGAAATGTTAGATTTGTTACTACCGGTTCTGTGGGCGTGGCTTGGTGCTGGTGGGTGTAATGTGACTGGGTGGGCGTGGCCAACTTTTTTTTTTTTTAAACTTTTCAAAGCATTTTTTCTAAGGCTTTGAATGAAAGATACATATCAGAATGGAGAAGATGGATTGACTATATGCAAAAAAAGTATCCGAACAATAAGATTCATATAGCTTATGAATGAAATATTTTTAAGTAGTTTATGTTTATAGTTTTTGAGTTATAAGGAGTTAAAGATTTAGGGAGAATATGAATGCAATAATTTGTTAGCATATTTTAGCTTTATGTTTGTGAATGCTATACCCTGTGCTTGTTCTGGGAAGTCTAGGGAGGGGGGTGGGGGGGGAAGGAGGGGAGGGGGAAAGGGTGTGGGGAGAAAATGCTTGTATTTCTTATAAAACTTTTCAATAAAAAAAGAAAAAGAAAAGAAAAGCCTCTGCTGATCAGGCAACTCAGCTGGGATCGTCAGAGACTTTTCAAAGCATTTTTTTTACCACCTCTTCGGCCAAGAGGTTGCAGAAAAAATGCTTTGAAAAGCCTCTGACGATCCCAGCTGAGCCACGCGATCATCAGAGACTTTTTTTAAACTTTTAAAAAAGGCTTTTTTGTTGGAAGAGGTTGTAGAAAAAATGCTTTTAAAAGTAAAAAAAAAAAAAGCCTCTGATGATTGTGCAGCTCAGCTGGTTATGGGGGGGGGGAGTTGCAGGGATTTTTGCTACCCGTTCTCCGAACCACCTGCCATCATCACTACTGGATCGGGCGATCCGGTCCGAACCGGGAGCATTTCACTCCTGCTCAGAAGGATGGAAGGATGAATCAACCTTGAGCCGGTCAGAATCGAACCCCTGGCTGGCAGTCAGCAGAATTAGCTTGCATTCTAACCAGTGCACCACCACGGTTCATATACAGGTAGCCCTTAACTTATGGCCTCAATTGACCCCCAAATTTCCGTTGCTAAGTGAGACATTGGTTAACAGAGTTTTCCTCCGTTTTACAACCTTTCTTGCCACGGTTGTTAAGTGAATCACTGCCGTTGTTGAGTTAGTCGCACGGTTGTTAAGTCAATCTGGCTTCGCCGTTGACTTTGCCTATCAGAAGGTTGCAAAAGATCCCCGGACAATGCAAGTCGTAAGTATGAGTCAGTTGCCAAGCATCTGAATTTTGATCACATGAACATGGGGATGCTGCAACAGTCATAAGTGTGAAAAATGGTAATGTCACTTTTTTCAGTGCTGTTGTAACTTCGAACAATCACTGAATGAAGTGTTGTAAATCGAGGACTACCTGTACGGATAGTCCTTGACTTGCGACGGTAATGTAATCTGGAAGAACAGTTGTAAAACGCAGTGGTTGTTAAGAAGATCACCAAGTTACCTTGCCTGATTTTACAATCTCTTGCAGTGGTCATTAAGCAAATATGGCAGTCGTTAAGCAAAACACATTTTCCCCAATGGGCAAACTTCTACTGGAAATCAGAAGTAAATAAATGCCGGTGACCAGCAAAAAAAATTGTCGTATATTGTGGTCCCGGGTGACAGTGGGATGCTGCAAATGACTGTAAAAATGTGGGCTGGTTTCCAGGTGCCCCAAAAGAGATCATGTGACCACAGCCCCCCCCCTCCCCCCGGCAGCCATCATAACTTTGAACCCAAGTCATAAATAATTCTGAGGAGGTACGTCAAGCTGTTCTGTCCCAGCTACGGATCCCAAAGAATGTAGCACACACAAACTTTGAACAAAACTCAGTTTACTTCAAAACGCCGTCTTTTGCAAATGCAGGCTGTTAATAAAAATGTTCTTAACAACCTGCCAGAAATTCCACAGATAAGATAGAGTCTTACTAGAGTTGGCAGAAAGCCCAGAAGCTAGGTTTGCGGAGAAAATTCAAACTCAATGATCAACGGACGAACACACGTTGTTTCCTGCAGCTTTTTACAGGCTGTGTGCAAACTTAAATAGACTAAGGGAGTAGCCAATTAGCCCCAAGCCTTACTCTCGAGGAGACCTCCTCCTGAGTAACCACTCCTGCAGTTCTGCGTGCTCGTGCATTGAGAGGAGGCTCCTCCACGTCATCCTCTTCACTTAAAGGAGCCTCTGGAGGTTCTGAAGGCCCTGGCTGAATCCCTGCCTCTGGTACCACATCTTCTTCAGCCTCCTCGCTGTCCGACTCGAGCGCCGGCTGCACAGGCTGCTGGTGCGACACCACACCAGCCTCCTCGTCGTCGGGATCATCAACAATTCGCGCAGGCCGCTGGCGGGCCACAACACAAGCACAGCAACTTCTTAATGTGTGAACTTCAACTCCCAGAATTCCCCAGGCATATCCATACATCTGAAAAAGTTGCTGAGGAGAAGAAATATTGTCACAAATTACTTCAAAGGGCTTTGATAATGCTGCACGCACACGCACACACACACAGGTTTCTCTTTTTTTGGCTAGCGTTTTATTCATTTTTTTCTTGGAACGTGTTCATAGCTATTGAAAGGACAGCAATAGCAAATCAGGGAAATGATAAATCTAGCTAAATCAAGTTTACACCACCACAATTTACTCGCCGCCGATTTTCCTCTCCATGCTTCCATACGTTTCCTGTTGTTCTTCTCACCTCTCTTCTTCTGAGGAACTCGGCATGTTCATCTAACCACAATTTTCTCGGTCTCGACCAAATCATTCTTCCTTTCGGGGCTGCAGTTTGAATCTTATTCATTCTCTCTTTGTGACCCACCCACCAATGAATTTCATTTTACTAGGGCTTTTTTGTACACAAAGCCACACCCTTCATTCTTGTGCCTTTCTCTTCCTATTTTATCACATACCCTTAAATCAAGTTATTTCCACCTCTCATTTCTGGGCACCAAAAGTACGTTGTCCTTTTTTTGCTTTCTTTATCATGCTTCGAGCAGAAAAGCAGAAAGAAAAAATGGATAAATATAGATACTACTGACCGAGAGAACAGGAAACTCAGCGCTTTCAGAACCAAAGTGGCAGCTGAACGCCACAATCTTATTCATGTTTAGTCGGCTATGCTACAAATTTATTTATTTATTTATTTATTTTTAAATTTGTATACCGCCCTTCTCCCTGAGGACTCAGGGCAGTGAACAGCCAATAAAAACATACACTACAAACATTAAAATAGAATTTAAAAGATATATATAAATTTGGCCCCATGATTAAAAACAATAACAAACAATTAAAAACATTTTAAAAAGTCTTAGGCCAGCCCGGCTTGCTGGAAAAAGAAGGTTTTAAGGGCACAGCGAAAGGCACCGAGGTCTTGGATTCTCTTGAATTGAGTGCAAGGTATATTCTCTGTAACTCGACATTCTATGACAGTCATGTTAGGCCCTTCTTTAAACAGGTT